ACTTTGTCGGCACCCTTCCCGCGCAAGGCTGTGGCTTCACTTATGACGGCGAGAATGAAGGTCTATCTCCCACTCTTCCTTTACTCCTTGTACTCCATCCCTCACTCGATAATCCCGTCTTAGGTCACGGAGGCTACCTCGTAACTAATGTTGCGAACCAAAACCTCCTTCCCGCATGGCTCTCCGCCACTAGCCCTGACATTGTCATGATGCATTTCGGCACCAACGACGTATGGAACAACATTGCCACCAACACCATCCTCGCCGCCTACACGGTACTCGTAAGCCAAATGAGGGCCCAGAATCCGAGCATGAAGATCCTTGTAAGCTCCCCTTCTCGTTTTTATGTATGGCATGGCGTGCTAATCGATGGCGTATATCTATAGGTTGCGAAAATCATACCAATGAACCCGTCGGGATGCACAACATGTGCGGCGGGAGTTGTGGCACTTAACAACGCGATTCCGAGCTGGGCGTCGGGGTTGAGCACGAGTGCGAGCCCGATATATGTGGTTGATCAATGGACAGGGTTCGTCACAAGCACGGATACGAGCGATGGGGTGCACCCGAATGATGCAGGGATTATTAAGGTGTCGGATAAGTGGTATCCTACTCTTAGTGGTCTGGTTTAAGAGCGGATTTTGTTCTGCGTGTATTGACGGGGGATTTTGGTTGAACGATCGATGGTAGATGTATAGATATATGTAGCACATCTAGTTGTAGAATCAATCAAAACTTGGGAAGCTCCTGCATTTACCCGTATCTGATTGTGGCTGTCTTGTGAAATGTAATGAAATATGTTCCCATGAATGGTCATATGAGAACCCCCCCCAGGTTTGCGGCTTCGGAATTTTGGTATACTGCTTCACATTTAATTATCGCTACACCAAGACACTACGAGTTTAAACAACCCGTACAGCTTCCGGTAGAATTATTGTGGAAATAGGGACCAACGATCATACCAAGAACAGGGCAATTCTCCAACCCCACATTTCCACAATAATTCTACCGGAGGTTGTACTTATCCAGCTCTTTAGGCCTAAATGTATACATGCAGTGTACATACATGTATAATCTCAAGGTTAGCTAAATACAAATGTATTACAAGAAGACATCATAAAGGTCACCAGAATTAAGCGTTAATAATATCTGCATGCATACATACAAAGCTCGATCCAAAAATTATCTTGGTCGTGGAAATACATTTATGTACTTGGCAGAATGAACATCCCTGCTACTCCTACACAAGCATGTGTACCGACTAAAATTTAACACCCCGCAAAAATATCAAGAAAGATGGCATTCTTGGCGCGCACCTCTATTCGGCGGCTGTCAAGCAACAGGAAAGTAAGTTTGGGCGTCATAAACCCTCACTCGCTTCGGTTGTGTTACCCGAAGAGGTGTCAAGCTTTAGGTATCCGTCTTGGCGCACCAACCACCATCCCATTGCTTCCCCGCAATTCCAGAGGCCTTTCCGCTGTAACTACAACCAAAGGGAACTTATCAATCACTCCTAGACATACCAGCACAAAAATGTCTTCACCAATTACCGTTCAATCGCAACGTAAGCCCTCTTACCCCTTCACCAAATCCCCAGAGGTTTCATCAGAGCTAAACTAACACACCCAGTCTACGTCGACTCCCCTCCGACAATCTGTGTCCTCGAGATTGCTCCCCACTTTGATTCCCTCACACCCAAGCAGAAACTCTACGCTCACCACATCTCCCGTGCTGCATACCTCGGTACCCGTGTTTGTGCACGCCAATGCTCCCCCGAATCGGAGGACATCTGTGATCTCATCTTGAACCTCCACAAGGCCATCTCCGGGGACTACAAGAAGCTTTCCTCTGCCACGGGTGTCAGCGATGAAAATGTCAAGTACTTCCTCGAGTACGCGGCCATGGTTCTGACGTCGTGTGGGAACTACAAGAGCTTTGGAGACGCGAAGTTTATCCCTCGCATCCCGAAAGAGGAGTTCGCGAAGCTGGCAGAGCATGACGCGGGCGCTAAAGCGAGCTTTGAGAAGGTGAAGGAGGCTATCTACGCTACGCAGCCAGAGGAAAAGAACTTCCTGGGGTATCCAGATGCCGGTCATGTTTCTACATACTACCCTAACTCGCCAGATATCACGAAGGCCGAGATTGAAGCTGTGCAGAACTTTATGAATGAAAACTCGCTACTTTCTGAGAATACTCGGTTGCGGAAAATCAGTGATACCGAGTTTCATCTGCTCATTGCGTCTGCACATGCCAATGATAACAAAGAGTTTACACTTCCGGATGGAAAGAAGCTGAAACTGGAATATGGCGACCATGCAGCTGAGATGAAGAAGATTGCTGCAGCCTGCAGGGATGCCTCCGAATCTGCCGAGAATGAATTACAGAAGAACATGTGGCTCGAGTACGCCCGCTCTTTCGCAGACGGCTCCATCGAAGCCCATAAAGAGAGTCAAAAACTCTGGGTACAGGATCAAGGCCCAGTTGTCGAATCTAACATTGGATTCATCGAGACCTACCGAGACCCACATGGGGTCCGCGGGGAATGGGAGGGTTTTGTAGCGGTCGTCAACCAGGAGCAGACAAAGAAATTCGGCGAGCTAGTACAGCGGGCTGAGGAGTTCATCAAACGCCTTCCCTGGGGCATCGATTTCGAAAAGGACACCTTCCTCAAGCCTGATTTTACAAGTCTGGAAGTTCTCTCCTTTGCCGGTGGCAGTATCCCAGCAGGCATCAACATCCCCAACTACGACGATATCCGTCAAAACATTGGCTTCAAGAACGTCTCTCTTGCCAATGTTCTTAATGCCAAAGCTCCTACGGAAAGAATCACCTTCGTCTCTGGTGCCGACCTCCCGCTCTACGAGAAGCTCCGCCGCAAGGCATTTGAGGTGCAAGTTGGTGTGCACGAACTGCTTGGCCATGGCACAGGCAAGCTCCTCCAAGAGACCTCCAAAGGCGTCTTTAACTTCCCCCATGACTCCCCACCAGTTTCTCCTATTACCGGAAACCCTGTATCAACATGGTACAAGCCCGGCGAAACGTGGGGTGGTGTGTTCGGCGGTGTTGCTGGATCATATGAAGAGTGCAGAGCTGAGTGTGTGGCTATGGTACTGGGTGTTGATAAAGACATTCTTTCAATTTTTGGGCACGTGGACCAGGATGCAGAGGATGTCCTCTATATCGAATACCTACAAATGGCACGCGCGGGTCTTCTTGCCCTCGAAATGTGGGATCCGAAGACATCAAAGTGGGGCCAGCCGCACATGCAAGCGCGCTACTCTATTTTACAATGCTTCCGATCTGCCGGTGATGGCTTTGTATCCTTTGAGCACTCGCTCCCAGACAAGAGCGACCTGATAGTCAAGATCGACAGGACCAAAATCCTGAGCCATGGTGTTCCGGCCGTAAGCGAGTATCTCACAAAGCTCCATGTGTACAAGAGCACAGCAGACGTTCAGGCAGGGACAAAGCTCTATGCTGAGATGACGACCGTCTCAGAGGAAATGAAAAGTTACAGAGCTGTGGTCATGAGTATGAAGCAGCCAAGGAAGATGTTTGTCCAGGCGAATACGGTTATGGCTGAGAATGGGACGGTGGAGCTAAGAGAGTACGAAGCAACACCGGAGGGTGTGGTGAAGAGCTTTGCTGATAGGGAACTTTAAGGGGGTTTCTTTTCTCGTATTGATACCATGGTTTAAAGTTCGGGACTTTTAGTTTAGCTTTCAGAAGTAGCTCGATAATAAAGTCTTGCCCATACACACCGAAGAAAGCGCTCTCAGAATCTACAATCAAACCATTGATATTCAGATCCTTGCAAGGATGGTCTCAAATTTATATGCTATGAACAGTCCTAGGAGTCTAGGCACAAAGAAGACCCAATCACTAGTCTAGTACTCAGAGGCGACATCTCCTCTCCTCTTTCCTCTAAATTCATATTTACCCTATATACATACCCTAGTTAGCACTCACAATTCCACACCACGCTACTCCTTTCATAAGCCTGCCACCTACATCGGTTTTAAACGCCAATACGCCCAACGCGACCGGAATCGCAATCACGTAGATGAACGACACCTTTGCCGTGCGATTATTCCAGCGAAAATACTTGTAGCGGTTGGTATTGAGAGCTGCCCCCGTCAGTATGTCTCTTTCTCTCCTCCCCCTCCTCCTACCGCCGATGGTGGATGCTTACCGGCGTACTTTGTCAGCGCCGGGTCCTTGTGGAGAACTGCACCAATGTGTTAGCATAAGAGCTGCGCAAGCTGGGGGAGCAGAGGCAACGGTTTACCATCGTGGTGGTGGCCGGCCATGGTGATGGGTTTGTGGGATCGGGTGGGTGGGTGGGGGGTAGTGTTTGGGGGGCGTTGTTGAGGTGCGGCGTGCGGTTGACGTTGTGATCTTAGCGTCATTGTGGGGGCTTGGCGTATATCACGTGAAGTGCCTTTCGTAGTCAAGAGACGAGTGATAGAATGTGATTCGGTTTTTTTTCTTCTTTTTTTTTTTTTGTTTAATTCATTACACGCAACCGCATGCAGACAGACCGTAGTCTATGGCAATATTGCGCAAGCACCTGAACGACCTCCGCCTCGCACAGGATCCTCGCACAGGATAACAGTAAAGTGATTCTTTTTTTTATTTTATTTAACTCATTACAGTAAAGTGATTCGCTTAGTGACGACACTGAAAATATTTTATTTTAGCCAAAGGGGATAGGTAGCATTTACAAAAGGTGACCTCAGAAGCAACATCAGCAGCGTGCAATCAGTAACGGTGAAATTTTCTAGCTCGTCATTTTCAATCACTGTACTCGGGAGGCAGCAAACCCAGCCATACTGTCAGGTCAGCACAAAGGCATCCCCCACCCCATTGTGGATTAGCATTTGTGAACGATGGATTGACCGACGTAAACATATATAAAATCAGACTAAAATAGATTGAACGAAAGAAAAAAAAACTAGATATCTTATCGATGACGAAAGTCAACGAAGTGAATTAAATTATGTCCTCAGCGAGAGTCGAACTCGCGACCTTCGGATATCCAACTCTAATGGGTTGGTCATATTTCCTATGAGACCGACGCTTTAACCAACTAAGCCATGAAGACATTCCTTGATGCATGCTTTATCTAAAATTTACCTAGTAATACCCTCGGCATCTTGGCGTTGAATAAAATTAGCTTAATTAGGCAAGCGGTGGGAAATGATCGTGATACACCTTTTTCTGCCCGTCTGCGCCATAGGCTCCGTTCGGGCCTTGCAAGTACCGCGAAATTAAAGTATACCCGAACCTGTCGGATGATGGTTAGAGATTGAGATTAATTATAGAACTCTGTAACTCCAAGGCCATACCGTTATAAAGCCGGTTGTTAGACAGGATCCGCCGTCACTAGGTGAACATTGGGAAGCACTCGTAACGCTAAAAGTGGTGCGGTATTGGGTTTAGCGAGGAGTCGCAACGTCATGATACCCTTTTGATCTATTATTGGTGTGAACTTAATTTACTGTCATGACACTTTATGAAAAATTTGCTTCGTGGGCACGTAGTTATCACAGCAACTCTAATTACTTTCTGCTATGTAATCAACTTGACCTTGAGTTTGCATGTCGCCTATGAGATAAATCAGTGGGAAATTCAAAAACTCTCGAAACCACCACCACAGAAGTAGATTAAAGTTCTATTTTTGGCGTGTAATTATAGCTAGCCTCTAGCCGATTAAGATATCTCATTCATACTTTGGTCATTTCTGCCGCTAAACTTGAGATTGTCGAATTTTGTTTGATGCGTAACTACATGTAGTTTCCGCCTCTGTCACTCTTAGACTATCATCCATTGCCTCATCAATACGCCCCTTCGTCTGTTCCCAGTAAACACAACATGTTAGGCCCACGACGGAATCATGATGGATATAATTTTAACGAAAAACACATTTGCAGTTAGCTTCCAGAATTTGTATGGTGATCCACCAATCATCACATGTCCTGGAAATACACGAAGGGATAGTAGTCACATCGAAAATTCTTGCCTGCACTTTTAGGGTTCAGATAGCTTCTCCGTAAGTATAAAGCGTCCCAGACCCACTTCACATCCACTTCCAATTCGCTTCTCATCCAATTTCCGAAAGAGTTCTTATTCGATATATAAAAACAAAAATGACGCAGCCTCATAATAGGCCTTCTCAGCGTGAGGAAGTCTCTATAGAGCTCACTAACCTCTCACGCTACCCCGGTAGAGCTCCGCCCCAAGGCATCAGAGCTGTGATACAAAATAAGCGCGATAAGCTAAATCGCGCCAAAATTGAAAGAAGAGCTGGAGACGGTGTAGGTGGTGGGTCTGGGAACTATTTTGTATGTTAAACCTATCAATAGTGGGTTCAAGATGCTGACCATGAAAAGAGGATTTTGAGATATGGAATGGCTTTTGATTATGCTCTGATGAGTTTTGGAGCTGCTGCTGCGCTGGTTACCGGGGTTGCATTGTAGGTTTGACAGAACAGCCCATGTAGTCAAATCATGAAAGATGCTAATTTGGTATTTTAGTCCTGTGATGATCTTACTTTTGGGCACCTTTATTAACCAATTCTTCTACTATGCGGCCGAGGGGGACTCCGAGACTTTTGTGAAAGAGACATCTAGCTTATGGTGCGTCAGCCTCTTACCTCCCATATACTTTACCCAATCAAGAAACTCTGACCACGAGTTCCATAGCCTCAAGTTCGTATATATCTTCCTAGCAAGATGGATTACAGGATTCATCTCAATGGTAAAGCTCCCTCTCTTCATCTTCGTCCCAACCCTCACTAACAGGCTGCTCCTCAGAGTTGTTTCCGCATCTCCTCAATGCGCATTTCATCCACTCTTCGGCTAGCCTATATTACCTCTATCTTCCGCCAGGACCTCACCTACTTTGATACGCTCGCCCTCAACCCCGTCATCGACACTGGCGCTGGCACCCATCTCAGTACCGACCACACAAATCCGGCCGTCCACAAGCCCGGCACTCCTGGCTCCGTCGCAGTCTCAATAACCTCGGTCACAAGCACTGTCCAAATGGGCATTGGCGAGCGTATCAGCTCAGTGGTCCAATCTTTCGGCATGCTCCTCGCCGGTTTCTCCATCGCACTTACGATTAACTGGCGCCTGACTCTTGTGTCGTCGGCTATCCTTCCTGTGACAATTATTATCTATGGAATCACGATCCCAGTTCAGGTCAAGCACGATAAGAGGATCATTATGGCATACACCAAGGCTGCAGACCTAGCAGAAGAGGTGCTATCTAGTATTCGCACAATTCAAAGCTTCAACGCAGAATGGGTGCATGCTAAAAAATACGAAGAACTTCTGACTCGTGCCAAAACACAAGGTGTAAGAAAGGCGCCATTATCTGGATTGCAGTGCTTCCTAGGTTCATTCGTAATGTTTTCGGCATATACAATATGTTTTCGCTACGGGGCCAGCATGTTTATGAGCGGTAAAATTAATAGTCCCGGTGAAATAATGATGTAAGGATCCTCGACCTTCTTTTGTACCGATTTATTGGTAGATTGATCATTTACACATACAGTGTTTTCTATGCGGCACTATTCGGAATAAGCTCATTTGCAGCTCTCGCAAACCCAATTCAGGCCATGGCTAAAGCCTCTGCTGCAGCCTCAATCATATTTCAAGTGATTGATCGCCCCCCGCTGGTCGACTCTCTCTCTGATGAAGGGGAGTCTCCCCTTGAACTCCCGGCAGGTGACATTGAATTTCGGGGCGTCCAGTTCGCATACCCCGGTGGCGGGGACCGCGTTAAATCTGTGGTGCTTGGGGGTAAAACAGGTTCACCATCTTTAGATAGCCCATATTTGGAAAATGATGAAAGTTCAAAGTGGGATGCGGATGGGCTTACCCTGAGCTTCCCGCGTAACAAGACAACCGCAATAGTAGGTCCCTCTGGTGCGGGTAAATCCACGATTGCGGCGCTATTAGAGAGATGGTATGAGCCGCAGATTGGAAGCATCTCAATAGGGGATACAGATATTGCGGATCTCAACTTGCGATACTGGAGAAGCAAAATTGGCTTCGTGATGCAGGAGCCATTTCTATTCAACGACACGATCTACATGAATGTGGCGTACGGACTGCAGGGAACGATGTATGAAGGCATATCCGAGAGCGGTAAAAGGCAAATGGTGCATGAGGCCTGCGTCGAAGCGAACGCGGCCGAGTTTATCAATGAGCTGCCGGATATGTATGATTCACTGGTCGGGGAGGGCGGTATCAAGCTCTCCGGGGGACAGAAACAGCGAATTGCAATTGCAAGGAGCATCATCTCTAAGCCACCGATCCTCGTGTTGGATGAGGCGACCAGTGCCCTTGACCCAATTAACGAACAATTGATCCACAAAGCCCTTGAGAAGATCTCGAAGGGTCGGACGACGATTATGATTGCACATCGCTTGTCAACCCTCAAGAACGCAGACAAGATTATTGTCCTCGAAAAGGGTAATATAGTTGAGAGCGGCACCCATTCAGAGCTTATGGAGAGCGCAACCGGAGTGTACCGGGCATCAGTTGGTTTGCAGGCTTTGGTGATCGATACTCCAAGTGCAGAAGACCCATTCAGGGATCCAGAAGTTCAAGGTGAAGAAGAAGACATAATCGTGATTCCAGCGGAGGGAGCGTGCCTTCTAGCCACAGAAGAACCCGATGTTACAACTAAATGGAAGGAGATGGGAATTTTTTCGCTCGTCTGGCTGATTTTAACGGAGCAGTCGAGATTGTGGCCTGTCTATACAGCCGGCTTAGCTGGAGCTCTTGGGTCTGGTAAGTTTAGTAGTCTTGCTTATACCCGCGAATTAAGTTACTTATTTATCTAGGAATTGCTCTCCCAATGTCAGGACTTCTGTTGGCGAGTTTCTTGATAACCTTTGATCTTGCGCAAGCTGGGGAGATGGCCCTATTCGAGATCGCCAGTACTTTCTGGGCACATATGTTCATGGTTCTAGCTGTCGGCACTGGTCTAATGTGTTTCCTCATGGCCTACATGCTCACAAGATCCTCCTATGTATGAAGCTCATTTTCACTTTCACTTATCATTTCTAACACTCATCAGATTTCGGGCAGCCATTATCGTTCAGAGTACTTCCGAAATATCATATCTCAAAAGATCCCCTTCTTTGACAAGTCCTCCAACTCTTCCGGTGAACTCACCTCCAAGCTCGACATTTACCCCGGCGCCATCCAGGAGCTCATTGGCATCCCCGCCGGTGCTGTGGTTTCCTCCTTCGCGACCTTCGTTTCATCTTGCATAATCTCCATCTATATATGCCCGAAACTTGCAGTTGCCGTCATCCTGGCCTGTGTTCCATTGAACCTCCTCGCAGGCTGGGCAAAGATTTGGATCGAGCGGCGATTCGTCGGCGACTCTATGGACGTATTTGCAGAAAGCTCACAATTTGCAACGGAGGCTGTCGGAGCCTACAGAACCGTATCATCCCTCTGCTTAGAAAGGCCTATTGTACAACGGTTTAAGAAACTCCTGAGCGGCCATGTCAAGAAGCAATCATTCAGGGTCTTGTGGTCCTCCGTCTTCTACTCGGCCACTGAATCATCGTCAATTCTGACTTCCGCCTTTACGTTCTGGTGGGGTGGAAACTTGATTATAAGAAAGGAGATCAGCGTTTTCCAGTTCTATGTGGTATATCTAACAGTACTCCAAGCGGGCGATGCTGTAGGCATTATATTCAACATTGCGAATAAAATGGCCCTAGCCATTCTTTCGGCGAACAAAATGTTTGAAGTTCGACCAGCTCACGGTTTTAAACCGTTGGGCAAGCGGTTAAATCAGCAGGAAAGAGGGGGCTGTACGATTGAGTTTAAGGATGTTTATTTTGGATATAGCGATAGGAACCTTAACGTGTTTAACGGCCTCAACTTGAAAATAGAGAAAGGGCAGTTTGTGGCGCTTGTTGGCCCTTCTGGGTGTGGGAAGAGCACAATCATCAGTTTACTAGAAAGGTATATTCTTAAGGCCTAAACTTATCTCCGATCTGGCGAGTCTAATGAAATACAGATTCTACGATGTCAGTAGGGGGGATATTCTCATTGATGGGCAGAGCTTGGC